TGCCGGCGACTACTCTATTGATATGCTGTGCTATATGTTGCAGCGTCTAAGCAGAGTTCGTACTCGGAGCACTAGTATTATCAGCCAGAATCCCGCGTTGATGAAGAAGATATATGACAAAAATGAGGGATTTCACGTGCACATTACTCTTAATTGTTGTCTGAGGCAGCAGTGGTCACTGGCGAAGCTAGTGTTAGTGTTGAGTACGTCCAGTCATTTCTGAGCGGTAGAGTGTGACCGCTGTCCTAACTGCTTTATTAAGACTGTGTTGGAGTGTTGCATTATCCAAAATTAAGCCTAATATAGTAGCGCATGCTGCGGCGGTTGGGGATGGCGTTTTCAAGTGGCCCTATCTTTCACATACTTTTCATCCACGGCGACAGCTTTTCTCCTAAAAAATCGCAAATAATGTTCCATTTTTTTAGTTTTAAGACGCGCGTTAGAATTTTTCACCGTCTGCTCTTTTTGCTCAGTTACACCTAATTACTTGTATTAACTGAAAGCACAAAATGTGATTGTATTACTTGGAAATCGTGAGTATTCGCCCACAATTATGTAAACGGCCTTTTTTGAAATGTTCGGCTGTGCCGATGCATTCCACAACTACTGTGCGCCATTACGGAGTTCAAAGTCGTTGCCTATATTTCCCTTAATAAACTTATCTGGACTTAGACGGTCCTGGCGATCTTGATAAGTGTCTCCTACGACTACGAAAAGTGCTCAGGATGCATAAGTCTCCAACATAAAATATTTGTGATAGAGCAGACAACAGAGAACTTAAAGAAGGAAAAGTTAATGCAAAAAGTGTAAATGCTGTTCACTCAGTTCAAAAAGACTAGACTCGTCAAAAATTCCGAAAAAAAATATGAAGTATACAACTATGACAGCAAACGTTACGAAGAAAAACCTATCTTCTTTTCAGCTTAATACAACAGTACACGGTATTTAACCTACTCAGCGTATGACCTAAGTACCCTGCTCACTGTGACAGCGGCGATCTTTCCGAAATGCTTGCGGCTGACCCTTCTGCTCAGCTGCGCCCACTAGTCCAAGACCTCTATATCTTTCCTGATACCTACCTATTTGGCAGTTTTCATGGTAACCTCTTCACTGGGAAGGAGTCGGACATTATTCGCCCTCACCCACAGCAAGCCGTCGATCTGCAGGAGCAACTAACAGGCCCGTTTCGTCAGGTTGCTCAGGCGTTCATCTTCAAGCCTGGTCTTATTCAGGAGCGGTTGCATAAGAGAGCGAGCGCGACGTGACTATCGATTTTTCCTCCCATCTGATTGGCCCATACACTCAGCTGTGTCCCTCGAGTTCCCCCTTAAGTACATTCAGCCTTTGTGTGAGAATGACTTGCACTGACTTGCTGTAACGCGCTTGTCTGAGTAAACACTCTCTCTCCTTCTGGGCGTCTGGTTTTTTGTCTGTCTCTCTTCCGGAATCTTGGGACACAGATTTTCACTCTACGATGGAGCAATTGTGTCCAGACTTGAAGCTAATGTTGCAACTGAAGCTGATGGAAACCCTTACCACCAGGCTAATCACATCATCCATGGGCCAGTCGAGTTCTGCTGGTGGCTCACAATCCGACGATTCCACCGCCAGCAGCATTACGCAATTATTGTATGACCCGCAGGTCCAAGTTACTTTTGACTCCTGGTACAAACAATACGAGGATATAATCTCTATCGATCTGGCTGCCCAGGAAGACGCATGGAAGGTACGACTCCTCCTTCGCAAACTAGGTCCTGCCGAGCACGAACGCTTTATTGCCCAAGAATCTACGGGACATTTCTTTCGTGGACACACTGATCACGATGTCGCAGATTTTCGGTGAGCAATCATCACTGCCCAACCCCCGATTTCGGTGCCTTTGGCTGTACAAACGGGAATCCGACGATTTCGTCCCGCATGACGGCACTGTGAATTGCGAATGTGGGCGTTTTCAACTCAGATCTCTCGTAAAGGACAAGTTTAAAGGCCTTATTGTCATCTGCGGACTCCAGCCCCTCAAAGATGCCGACATTCAGACACGTCTTCTGTCCCACGTGCAACAGAGCAGCTCAGTTACCCTCCGCGAGCTAGCTGCCGAATGTCAAGCACGATTCGGTC